GATTCTAACAGCTGTGTCTGGTAAGGTTCCCGTGTCTGGTCCAGTTGCTGCGTCTTGCTCCTGCCAGTCACTTGCCCACCCCACCGTTCTGTGGCACCACCGGATGGGGCACCCGTCCATTCCTCACCTGTGCGCTATGTCTAGTCAGCGTCTTATCTTAGGCCTCCCGCGAGTCTTGCCGTCGCTGCCGCCTTCGCTTGCACCACCTTGCAGTCCCTGCGTCGAGGGTTGGCTGCGCGCCACCCCTCACTCCTCCTCCCTTCGTCCGGCCACCGATCCCTTCGAGACTCTCCACTTGGACGTCTAGGGCCCCGCCCCTCGTCCTGGCCCTGAGCGAGAGAGTTTATTTCTGGTGGTCGTTGACGACTACTCTCGCTACACCACAGTGTTCCCCTTGGCAAAGAAGTCTAAGGTGACTTCTACGCTGATGCGGTGGTTGCTTACCACTGTAGACACTCGTGGTTGTCGTGTCAGCTGTCTTCACTCCGACCGCGGGGGTGAGTTTTGCTCCGGCATTCTCGCTGGATCCTGTCGCGAGCAGGGCATCCGTCAATCCTGGACGCTTCCAGAGTCCCCACAGCAGAATGGGGTTGCTGAGCGCCGCATATGCTTGGTCATGGAGATTGCACGCACCTCCATGATCCACTCGTGTGTGCCCCATTTTCTGTGGCCCTACGCGGTTCGGTACGCTGCTCACCAGCTGAACCTCTGGCCACTTGTCTCTCGGCCAGAGGCTTCACCGACCAGTCTTTGGACCGGGTCCCCTGGTGCTGCATCGCGTTTTCATGTCTGGGGCTGCTTGGCGCTTGTTCGCGACACCTCCGCGAATAAGCTCTCCCCTCGCTCCCTTCCCTATGTCTTCCTTGGTTTTCCCGTGGACTCCTCTGACTTCACCCTTTACCACGCTCCCCCTTCACCGGTTCTTTGACTCCCGCGACGTTCGTTTTGTCGAGTCAGTCCCCTACTACACCCGCTACCCCTGTCGAGGTCTTTCGGTTCCTCCTCCCTCTCTTTTCCTGACTCCCGCCCCCCCTCCTGCCCCTCCGATACACCCCCCCCCCCCCCCTGGTCCAGCCCCGTCAGGTGTGTCACACGCTACCCCCCCTCGGTAGCCCCTCGGGTGCCGTCCCCTTCCCCACAGTCCTCCTCACAGCCTATTGCAGACCCTGCGGGAGCAGATGCTCGTGTCGAGGACCCTGGGGGTGCTACCTCTGGAGGGGTTGGAGGTGGAGCTGAGAGTGTGCCTCCATGAGGGTCTAGTGCGGGGGGTGTTGGCGTTGGAGCTGAGCCCGAGTCTGCAGGAGGTTGAAGTCTTCAGGGAGCTGGTGGTCGTCGCGCTATCCCTGGGGGTGCTACGACAAGGGGTGCGGGTGCACCCCCTACGGGACCGGGAGAGTCTGGGACTGGCCGTGTTGCTGCAGGTGGTGCTGGCTCTGGCGGTTGTGCGACTGGTTCTTTGGAGAGAAGTCCTGGGGCTACCACCGCACTGGACACTACTCCTCCCCCCCACCCCTACCTGACCCGGCACCAGGCCCGAGTTCGCCGTGCCCGTGAGGAGCAGCTGGAGTTGGAGCAAGAGGAGAGAGATTTGGAGCGGCAACAGCTGGAGCTACAGCGGCTGGAGGAGCAGCAGCAGTAGCCGGAGCAGCAGCAGCAGCAGCCGGAGCAGCAGCAGCAGCAGCTGGAGCAGGAGCAGCCGCAGCAGGAGGAGCAGCAGCAGCCGCCGCAGCCGGAGGAGCAGCGGTCGCAGCCGCAGCAGCAGCAGCCGCCACCTCCTCCTTCTGCTTGTCTCCCCTCTCCTCTCGTGTTCTCGCCTCTCTTGTTACCGACCCACGTGCTTCTCTGTCCTCTGTCTCCGCTCTTACTGCTGCAGTCACTGATTTTGCCTCTACTCGCCACCTTGATTACGCCATCAGTCTTGTGGCTGCTCCTCCTACCAGTCCTCTGGCCGTCGGGGGTGAGTCTGCCCTTGGCTGTGACGCCCTAGATGACAGGCAGTTTGAGCTAGAGTTCCTGGCAGCCGCTTCCCCTCATCTCTGTGCCATGCTGCTCGCCCCTGACGGAGACCCCGACGCCCTTGACATACCGACTCCTTGCACTTACACTGAGGCAGTGTCAGGGCCTTGGGCCTCTCAGTGGAGAGCTGCCATGGACTCAGAGATGGCCTCCTACAGATCCACAGGCACTTACGTCGACGAGGTTCCCCCCCTCTGGGGCGAACGTAGTCGATGGCATGTGGATCTTCAGGGTGAAGCAGCCACCAGGATCTCCTCCTGTCTTCAAGGCGCGCTATGTGGCTAGAGGTTTCTGTCAGCGCGAGGGAGTTGACTTCTTTCAGACCTTCGTGCCTACCGCTCAGATGACCACTCTTCGGGTGTTACTCCACGTAGCAGCATAGAGAGACTACGAGTTACACCCTCTTGACTTCTTTACTGCTTTCCTTCAGGGTAGCCTACACGAGGAGGTCTAGTTGCGTCATCCCTTTGCCTTCACTGGCACTTTCCCTCCTGGGACCCAGTGGAGGCTGAGGCGACCGGTCTACGGTCTCCGTCAGGCTTCTCGTGAGTGGCACGACACCCTTCATTCTACCCTCTCTGACCTCGGTTTCCAGCCGTCTTCTGCCGACCCGTCGCTGTTTGTGCGGCGTGGCTCCACACCGTTCTTTGTACTGGTCTACGTCGACGACGTGGTTTTCGCCACTGCTGACATGGTTGCTTTGGCTGACGTGAAGCGCGAACTGCAGAAGAGACACAGGTGCACTGACCTTGGTGAGCTGCGCCACTACCTCGGCCTACAGATCACCAGGGACAGAGCCGCTCGCACCATTACTCTCTCACAGTCACACATTGTGCAGCAGGTCCTTCAGCGGTTCGAGCTTCAGCACTCCACAGTACAGCTCACACCTCTTGCTGTTGACCACAGACTCACTGGACCCTTCCCAGACGAGTCGTTTGAGCCTAGTGGTCCTTACGCAAATCTTGTTGGCTGTCTCATGTACCTGATGACTTGTACTCGACCGGACCTTGCCTTCCCTCTCAGCATCCTTGCTCGCTTTGTTGCGCCAGGGAGACACCGTCCAATTGACTCGACAGCTGCTGTGAGGGTGGCGAAGTACCTAGCGACGACATCAGGTGTGGGGCTGGTTCTTGGAGGGCAGCAGTCTGTTGTACTTACTGGATACTGTGACTCTTCTTACGCTGACGACGCCGAGAATCACATGTCTACTCAGGGGTACTCCTTCAACCTGGGCTCTGGAGTTATTTCGTGGAGGTCCATGCGTTCCTCCTCGGTCTCGACCTCTACCGCTGAGGCTGAGATCTATGCTGGAGCCATGGCTGCATAGGAGCTACGTTGGTTGACCTTCTTGCTTGCCGACCTTGGTGAGTGACCGACCTCTGCACCGACCTTGTTCACTGACAACAAGGCGTCGATTCTCCTCTGTCGAGAGCCGCGACTGGAGAGCAGAGTGAAGCACACCAGTGTCAGGTACTTTCTTCTGCGAGAGTTGCAGAGGCGTGGACAGGCTCGCTTTCGACTTTGTGGAGTCCGAGACCAACACTGCAGACATCTTCACCAAGGCGCTTCCGCCTTGTGACCACCAGAGGTGTTGTGTGCAGTTAGGTCTCGTTGACACTGGTTCTCGCCTTGCGTAGTCTTGAGTTCTTTGCTTGCTTTGTTTGTACGCTTTATATATACCTTTGTTAACTCTTGAACTGGCGTTGTGGCTCTTTTGCTTGTGTTCGGAGCGTGTGGTGACGTTGTGATCCACCCTGAGTTTGTTGCTTTGTGACTGGTCTTGTGACCGTACACTTTTGGTTGCTTTGCTTGACACCCCTCACTTAGACTATGGGGGTGTGTCAAATGTTGTAGTCTAAGTGATGTGTATTATAGGGGGTACAACTGCTAGGGATAGGTTTATGTACCCCAACCAACCTTAGTCACATCAACAATTTCATTCATGACAAGAGGGGAGGGTGCGCATGTGCGTGCATGCTAGCGCCCCATGTCCTTGCCGCTGTGCCGTGCGCTAGGGCATCATCATGAGAAGGGATGTCAGAAGAATTGCACCGGGGACGTCAGGTTGATCTTGAGGAATGGCTATAGGGTCGCTAGCCTGAGGGGTTATGGGCACACCCACCTTTTGGTTAACGACCAAGATTATGAGAGGATTATCACGTTAAGTGCCTTGAAGGGCATTGTAGCGCTTTTTCAATGACTACTTCAAGTGTGAACATTTTAATCAATTGATGTTTCCACGTTTCATGACTAGCATTGTTTACGATCCTATTTAAGAAAGATGCAAACAACAAACATGTGAGGGGGAACCGGGCCTTGAAAATTTACACCCTTGTAATCGTGACCCAATAGAACTATAACGAGCTAGCGTGTTTTATCGGGTTCCAGGTTCTACCCGACAATTCAGGTTTCTTATAGTTTTTTTTGTTTTTTTTTAATAGAAGGCTTTTCACTATATCAAGGATACAACAAAAGGGGCCACAGTCGTAACTGTTGGAGGAGGGGGGCAATTACACAACAATGAGAGAGCCACCCCTCGAATGGATCTACGGCGGTTTGTATCTGGCCCTCCGGTCCGTCCAGATAGACAATAACTCGTCACGCCACGTCAGGTTGCTCGCCACTCTCGTGCTGACATTTTCCATTGCTGTAACTTCATTATTGGCCAGATGCTGCTTGGCCACGTGCCGCCTCTTTATCCACGCCTTCCTTCGCTTGATGCCCTCATACGTTCGCGCATGTAGACAGAATGCTGTCGCAATCCTCTGCATCACCTTCTTGCCCTGGAATTTCGGCCCCCTGAAGACCGCATTACAGCGCTCCACCCAGACCTGATGGAACGTGATTGCCGATACTGTCAGCTCCGGGAAACCGGAGGCAGTTCCCCCGCACTGAAATAACAGGTCGCCAAGTGTCCTCGCTCTCCGCGTTGGATTGAACCATCGAATCACCTCTTTGAGGGCCCCCACCACAGGTTGGATGACTCAGCAGGAGAACATGGCATGGTCCACCGACTCCGCTTCCCCGCAGTGCAGGCATTTCGCCCGCTCGCCCAAGAACTTCAAACGGTTCCCCACTTGCAGATTGAAGCAGTGAGCGCGCAGCAAGACGTCCCGTGCCTTTGCGGGGACCACATGGGAGTCTCTGCGCGCAATCGCCCGCTTCCAGTCAATTTTCTTCCCCCACAGTTGTTCCCACTCTGCACGGCGAGGCAGCTTGTCCGGCTGCTTGCGTCTCCCCCCCAATCCTACTCTCAGCTGCTTCAGAGAGGCCGCCAGCTTACCCATGCAGAGCTCTGATTTTAATAGCCTGTTGCGCGGCTCGCCCAGCTCCCCGATCACCTCGTCCCCCATCACCGCCAACGGCGTGACCTCTGTCACAGACAGCGCTTTAACTCTCGCCCCCTCGGGCACGAACCACACCTTCCCGTCCTCGTGCAGACTCATCTTCGCGCAGTGAAGCTGGCTGCCAAGGGTTTTGTGAACCCACCACAGCTGCGTCCCTCTCGTCGTCGTTCTCACGACATTTGTGGCTTCCGCCATTTCCTCCGCCGTGAGCGGCTTCAGGACCCGCCCCTTCCAGTCATCGCTCAGCACCTCCTTGACTTCCTCAGCTACCTCCGCTGCCTGTTTGTGCCCAGGTCCCACGCCAACCGTTCAGACGATTTCCAGCTTCTGGTACCATCTGCCCACTTCATGAGCAGGTCCCCCACCATAATCTCGTGAAGGGCCTCATCACCCTTTCGCCGCCCGAAGGGGTATCCGCCATCACGCAGGATATGCCTGTTGAAAAGCACCCGTTCCTTCTCGATGTCCCATCTGCTCCCGACCGCCAGGTTCTTGACGACCGGCGATGACATTACTGCGGCCGTGATTGCTTTCCAACGATCAGTCCCCGTGCCCCATGCCTTCAGCAGTGCCTCGTGTGCAAGGAGGGAGACATAGCCAAGCGAGAAGTTCGCCGCTCGTTCCGCCAACAGTCGCCGTTGTGGCATCTCCTCCGTGAGAAGTTGCGCCAACGAGTGAAGCGCTTCTGCGTCCAGCCAGTCCTTAAGGTTTATCACCCCGAGTCCCCCTTCCTCCCCTCCGAGTTGCATGAGATCCCCATTCCAGAGAATGAAGCCCGGCTCTGAGCTCGCCCGTCCACCAGAGACAAAAGCGTGACACAGCCTCCTCAGCTCCTCCCATATCGTGTCCGGCGGAGGGTAGATTTGCGCCTGAAACAGCGCGATGGGCATGACATACGCGTTAACCACCGTCACTCGCGCTGTGGTGGTGAGAAATTTCGCCTCCCATTTCTTTAGTTCCGCTTCCATCCTGCTCGACGCTTTCTTCCACGACGGCTTTGCGTCCCCCCCCCCGGTGTGATCCAGACCCCCAACAGGCGCTCCGCATCATCACGCGACGCCCATTTGAAGGAACAATCCACTGGCGGCGGTATATCCCGTTGACTCCCCAGCGGCAGCACCACCGACTTGTCCCAGCTAACCGCCAGCCCCGACACCTGCTCGAACTCCTTGAGCAGCAGCTCAGCATCCCCCAGCTGCGAGCGACCGTTCAACAGTAGGGTGGTGTCATCGGCATACCCCAGGTAAGTCAGCTTTCCTGCTCCCTTGACATTGATCCCTAACCACCTCCTCTTCGCCTCCTGATAGAAAGGCTCCACCGCGCACAAGAAGAGGTACGGCGCGAGGGGGCAGCCCTGCCTCACCCCAGTCTGGACGGGGACCTCCTCTTTCAGCCAGCCGTCATTGCAGATGCGGGTTGCTGCTCCTTGATGCAAGCCTTCTACCCACTTCACGTAGACTTCCGGGAAGCCCATCTTCCGCAGCACCTCAAACAGGTACCCGCGCGCCACCAAGTCAAAGGCCTTGCGGAAATCCACCAGGAGCATGAGCCAGTCTTCCTTCCTGGTGTCCGCAGCATCGATCACGTCCGCCGCAATTGCCACCGCGCCAGCAATGCCCCTTCCAGGTAAGAAACCAAATTGCCCGGCCGACACCACACTCTCCAGCTTTTTTTTTATCCGGTTTGCCAGTATCTTTGCGATGAGCTTGTAAACCGTGCTCAGCAGCGTAATCAGGCGGTAGTTCTGCAAGTCATCCTTGGCCCCCTTCTTATGCAGAAGCACCGTCACTGCAGTCGAAAATTCCTTGGATAACAGCCCCGTTCGCTCAAACTCCTTCAGGAACCGCATCATCTGCCCCCCCAACAGGTCCCATTGTGACTCCCAGAGCTCTTTCGGGAGACCATCACGCCCCGGTGTTTTGCCAGGCGCCATCTCCGCCAACGCGCGCTTGACCTCCGCTTCTTCCCAAGGCGCACTGAGCTCCACCGCATCCTCTGGGGAGAGGCGCTTGTCCACCGGCCAGTTCAACTGTGAGTCCGCACCAGCCGCAAAAAGCTTGGTGTAAAAATCCGACGCAGCCTTCGGCGCCTCCTTAGCCGCTTCATACCGTAAGCCCTGGTGAAATATATCCACCAGGCGCATCTTTGCCTTCCGCGCCTTTATCCGGGACGAGAGGAAACCCGTGGGAGCTTCGCCATTCATTTCCACTTTGATTCCTGCCTGCTCCTGCATCTTACGGCGCCTTCCTTCCACATAGGCTTTGAGTTTGGCTTCACACTTCGCCAGCCGCGCCTTCGCCCGCGAGCATCGAGGCCTGCTCATCACCTGCTGCCTCAGCTCCCCGACTTCGCGTTCAAGATGCGCAGTCGTGGCCGCTACTCGCTTCCGCTCTTCCACCATGTAAGCCTTGAGACCAACTTTCAGAGTGGTCATCAGCGCTTCCAGATCTCCCCCTCTCTCCTTGTTTTCCGAACAATCTACTCCACCCGCCACTGTACCCCTGGCCGCGGCACTTGTGACGCCGGGAGCTTCCAGAGACCCGGGCCTGATTCCCCTTCCCCCCCTGCGCTGAGCTGCAGATGAACCGCAGACCAGTGATCTGTGCAACTTTTGACCAGCCCCACATGCCGCACCTCGTGGATCTGGTGGAGCAGCGCCTGTGAGAGGAGGATCATGTCAATCCTTGTGCTCTCCTGCACCGCCGCCGCATAGAAGGTGTACTCCCGCAGGCAGGGATGGAGCGCCCTGAAGGCATCTCGGGCATCGAAGCTACTACAGATTGACATTAACCAGTCATTTTCCCCTCTTGAGCCAATCCCCGACGTCTTATCCAGTGCAGGATCCTCAATGACATTCAGGTCACCTGCCAGCAACATTGGCTTCCAGCAGGTATCGTCGCCAAAAATGGTCGAGCACATCGCGGAAGAACGGGGACCGCGCCGTTGGGCTCGCCGGGAAATAGGCCGCAACAACCGTCACCGTCACGCCGCGCCATGCCATGGTCACCCGCGCCAGACGGCCTGAGGCGTCTTTGACCACATCCGAGCAGGACACTTCACTATTGCGTAAGACAATCGCCACTCCCCCAGCCCTTGCTGTAGGAGTCGCCGCTACAACCAAGTCCGCTTGTAGTTGATTCCAAAAGTTATGATCCCCCGAGATCCGTGTCTGCTAAAATGGCTATGTGAGCTCCGTCTCTTATCCACTCTTGAACGTCATGCTGCTTCTGCCAACAGCTGAGACCATTGACGTTCAGTACGTTAAAGGTGAGGGTGGTGTGTTTACCCATTTAAAGCCTGTGGTGAGCCCCTTTGCATCCACGGGCTGTTGTGTCAGAATGTATTTGCTGTCTAGCCTGCAGTGGGGTACTCTGTAATGAGTACAACCCAATTTAGGGTGTTGTACTTGTATCCCAACTCTTGCTAGTGAAACCCCATTCCTCTCCTTCCAAAACCTCTCGATACTTTTTCCTAAACTCCAACTCAACTACCAAGGCTCCTAAACTATGGCTCCTAAGCCAAACTCACGCTAGTATTTTGACATGTTATCAGAGCTTAACGTTCCTGGCCTGTGGGCCCACTCGATTCCGCTGCCCTACTGTGTGTCGCGCGCCCCGTGGCGCGCGACATCCCATTTTTCTTCCCGCCACGCGCTCGGAGCGCGTGGCGGTTTTCTGCCCGCCGTGCGCCCCGAGGCGCGCGGCGGGTTCCTACCTCGTCGCGGCGTCTTAGGGGCCCGCGCACTGGCCCCGACCGTCGCCTCGTCGAGGCGTTTTGGGGGCCTGCTCGCAGGTCCCTCCCGTCACCTCGTCGCGGCACTTTCGGGGCCCGCGAGCCAGCCCCTCCCGTTGCCTCGTCGCGGCGCCTTAGGGGCCTGCGCGCGGTCCCCTCTCGTTGCCAGTCGAGGCACTTTTGGGGACCTGCGCGGCTCCCTAGCACATCGCCCGTCAGGGCACAATGGGGGCCGCGCCCTTCCCCTCCCCTCCCTCCTACTTTCCGCTGCAGCAGCCGCCCCTGGAGCCGCCGCCCCTGAAGCAGCCGCCCCTGGAGCGGCCTGCCTTGCAACAGCAGCCGCCCCTGGAGCAGCCGCCCCAGCAGCAGCAGCTCCTGGAGCAGCCGCCCCAGCAGCAGCAACCCCTGGAGCCGCCGCCGCTGCAGCGGCCGCCCCAGCAGCAGCAGCCCCTGAAGCAGCCGCCCCAGCAGTAGCAGCCCCTGGAGCAGCCGCCCCAGCAGCAGCAGCCTCTGGAGCAGCCGCCCCAGCAGCAGCAGCCCCTGGAGCAGCCGCCCCAGCAGCAGCAGCCCCTGGAGCAGCCGCCCCAGCAGCAGCCGCCCCAGCAGCAGCAGCCCCAGCAGCAGCAGCCCCTGGAGCAGCCGCCCCAGCAGCAGCAGCACCTGGAGCAGCCGCCCCAGCAGCATCAGCCCCAGCAGCAGCAGCCCCTAGAGCAGCCGCCCCAGCAGCAGCAGCACCTGGAGCAGCCGCCCCAGCAGCAGCAGCCCCTGGAGCAGCCGCCCCAGCAGCAGCCGCCCCAGCAGCCGCCCCAGCAGCAGCAGCCCCTGGAGCAGCCGCCCCAGCAGCAGCAGCCCCTGGAGCAGCCGCCCCAGCAGCAGCAGCCCCTGGAGCAGCCGCCCCAGCAGCAGCAGCCCCTGGAGCAGCCGCCTCAGCAGCAGCAGCCCCTGGAGCAGCCGCCCCAGCAGCAGCAGCCCCTGGAGCAGCCGCCCCAGCAGCAGCCGCCCCTGGCCCCTGCAGCAGCCGCTCCTGGACCCGGTGCAGCCGTGGGGGGGTGGGTGTGGGGGTGATGGTTGTGGGGGTGTCAGTTGTGCGTGCCGTTCCCTCCTCCTCCTCCTCCTTCGTCTCCCACTGCTGCAGCTCTCGCTGAGGGGGGTGGATGTGTGGGAGTATGGGGTTTAGGGTTTAAGGGGGTGCTGTGGGTGTAGGGCTAGGGTTTGAGCAGGGGGTGTGTGAGAAGGGCGTTAGGCAGCTGGGGAGGTCGAGTGGAGGCAGCAGTCTTGTCGTCAGCAGCAGCAGCAGTCCGGAGGCTACAATCTCCGGTAGTCGCCAGTCGCCCGTGGGTCCGTTGCTCGTCTGCCGCTACTTTTAGCCGCGGGGCCAGTTACCCCAGTAGTCCGGAGCGCTGTTCCGGTAGCCACTGAGCCAGCAGCTCGTCTGTGTGTCTGCAGCGTCAGCAGTCGCCTCCCATCTTCTCTCCCCCACAGTCTCTCCTCCTCCTCACTTGCCCTCTGTGATTAGCTCTAGCCTTACTTACCTATTGTGAACTCTTGCTCTATGCTTGCTCATTGTGCTGATTACACCCCACTTTGGCTATGGGGGTGTGTCAGAATGTATTTGCTGTCTAGCCTGCAGTGGGGTACTCTGTAATGAGTACAACCCAATTTAGGGTGTTGTACTTGTATCCCAACTCTTGCTAGTGAAACCCCATTCCTCTCCTTCCAAAACCTCTCGATACTTTTTCCTAAACTCCAACTCAACTACCAAGGCTCCTAAACTATGGCTCCTAAGCCAAACTCACGCTAGTATTTTGACATGTTGGTGAGGGTGATGCCGCAAGAAACAACCTCTGCTTTTATACTCCATACAGGTACAGGCACATCGTCAACTGATACTCTCCAACTGCTCCTCCTAACACCATGTGGCCGAATCACTTCCCCTTTGCCTTCTCTGCACGAATCCCGTAGAGCTTCTTCGCCGCGTGTAGGCTCTGCTTCGCCTTGATAGCACGGGTTGCCACGCCAGCCGAACCCAATGCCGCACCATGGCTGAAGGAGCTGATGTGAGCCGCAGCCTGAGCAAAAGTGTCTCCATGCGCCCGCTCGCAGCACTCCTGAACACACAGCCATTCCTCCACATTGGCTCCCGTCGAGATAAGGACCAACGCCGGGTCGCGGAGAATCTTCCTCACCACCCCTGCCGACTGGAGGGAGGCCGCTGTAGAGGACACCCATCACACCACCATCAGTAAGTAGAGAAGGAAAGACTATGCACCGTCAGCAACCCCACAGTAAGATCCCCTCCCTATTACCGTTGATCGAGTGGACCCTGCCTAAGGACAAGTTCCAGTTGCTGATGTTGTTACGACGCTCATGCACATACTCATCATGCAACTTATCCATATGCGGTCCCTGGCAGAAGCAGCAGGACAGCGATGGATAATGCACGAGGTACGTCACGTCACTGAGCGGGTCTTCCACCACATGGCGCCAGCGGTATTTGTCCCCCGGGTGCGGGACCACCAAGCCGCGAATCTTATCCGTGTCCAGGCCCGAAACCGGGTCAACCACGCGATGGAAACCCGCGCCTTGCAGGAATGCCGGCCGTCCGCGCTTCTGCAGCTTCGCAACCACCAGCGATTCATAAACAATGAGCGACGTGATTTCCGCCGGGACTCCCTTCAGCAGAACCTCCACCCCTTCCGGCAGGTCAGTCTTCGCTTTCACGAAGGCACGATTCACCGGATGCAGCCAACCGAAGTGATGCTTCGTGGTTCCAACCACATGCTCCACCCGGTGCTGACGCACAACCTCTACGTCCTCAACTGTCGCGAGCGTGACTTGCAGACGGCTGAAATGAATCTTGGACAGGTACGTCGGAAAGAGCTCCTGAAACGCGATCCCGTCAAGAGCCTTGTCCGACAGCCTTTTCCGTAGGAAGACCAGCAGAGCTTTCACCGAAGGCTTCACTGCAGGCATCTCCTTCGCCAGCTCGATCGGGATCAGGAGTGTCAGCGTGACGCGCGCCTTAGCCGCCAGCGCACCCTTGGTATGTACTTCAATGCCCTCATCCGGGTCATCGCTTAAGTAGCCATCATCATCATCCTCTTCGTCATCTTTCCCTCCAGCAGGAGCGAGCGCAGACGGAGTCGCGGACGTCGGTGCCACTGGCTCCGGTACAGGTGACGCTGAAGCCGACGGAGTTGATGGATTGACATGGCCTTCAACCGTAGGAGCAGTGGTGGATCCAGCACCCGCTTCCGCGCCAGCCGTCTGCTCCACCGGCGGGACAGTCTGACCTTCCAGCGTCGTCATGGTAGCAGCAGCCTTCGTCGCCCTGGTCGAGATTGGCATACTTGGGCTAACGGAGAGTAAGGCGTGAAGTGCACTGAATTTGAAACCAGGACAGACCAGCATTATATAGAATACCAGCCTCTTCCTTGTCTTCCATTCCCAAGGAACCCCCGGGTTTGTAGACACCAAGGGAGCCATTGTTCTTGATTGTGGATTGAACACCTGGCGAGATACGAGTGCTCCAGGTTAGGATCAGGAAACCAATTTGGCTCGAACTTGATCAGTAGATGCCAGCTCACGCAACGAAGACACCAAGACTGGGAAAGGCAGCTAGGAAATACACTCGATCCATTAAGAGAACCTCTAAGCAACTACCTGACAGTACCTAGGGTTGACAATGACCATTTGCCTGGTACTCGATAAGCATGAAAGATACCCGCCTGATGGGTACAATTTTATGTCTACTTATAGAAGAACTCAAGCTGCATCGATTGGTGTAGTCTATGTCAAAAATAGGTGCCGTCTGCCTAGACATTGTTCGCTCCGAAGCGCACGTCAGGATCCATGGCGGCCTTAACATCACGTCTCGATCCATATTCAGTTTTTCATCAGTGACTATCCATGATAGATTTACCCGTTTCAATTGTTGGGCTGAGAAATAGCCCTTAGGATCTCTGCAGGGGTGAACTCTGGGTAGAACTGATGTAGTAGCGGAAGCGTTTAATGAAGAGTTGTGAACCACCTTGCGCTAGTATGTGAGGGCAAAGTTGATTGATTAAAGCAAAGAGATACAAGATTATATAAGAGTACAAGGAATACGAAGAGATACAGTTTGCAACTACTTTACTGTTGCTGTTGCGGTTCGATACAGTGACGACTCGGGCAACTGCTCTGTAGCGAGACAGTTGTGTGTCCTTGCTGTCGCGCTGTACTTGTCAGGTCAAAGGTCGCTGACCTTTGACTTTCGCGTAACCTCCAGCAACTGCTCAACCTCCGAGGGTTGACTCGCTGGTGCTTCGATATGTTTCGCTTCGCTTGTGTCTTGGTGTTTCGACACGACAGAGGCGCTTAGAATTAATTGTTTCCAACATCAATGACCGTTTGTGATAACCAGGTTTCTTTTAGTGTTCAATTTGTACGCGAGATAGTAGGATGGCATGCTAGTAAGGAAAAGAAATTCATTCAGGTAGACTTTAGGTTCAAACCTTCATGTGGGTTACAGATGCCGGACCTCTGGGTTCGCTCAGGTGCCCCCAAACCAATCGACAGATGTATACCACACCAAGCATGAGGGCCAGTGCTGCTGTGCTGTCGCCCCACCTGATATCCTATCAGCCTCTTGAACCACACGTCGTAGTCAACTGCCAATTTTGGCGTTTTGGTACTCCCGGGATCTGCCCATGGGTGTTGGCCGCATCGGTCCCAAGCTAGCGTACACTATTGCCCACGTCTACCAGTCATTTCAGCCCTCGAATTGTATTTTCAAGCAGAAAAGAGTACCTAAGGAATTTAAATTTGACGTAAAATGCCCCTTCTAATGAGTTTTTGTTTTTACTTGGCGAGGTGAGGAATTCAAGAATTCGCCACTTTATGGACCCATCGTGTTGTTTGGCATCGCTCTCGAGACCAATGTGTATACAGTAATAGTAACAATAGTTACACGCACGTGTAGTAAGAAACACCAAGCTCCAAAGCAAATTTCACACAATCTAGACCTATGTTCCACTCTAAAGCACCAACACGAATTCCACTTTAAACACAAGCGCCCTTGTTTTGAAACAACACGAGAGTCATTTCTGGGGTCAGGGAGAACTAAGGTAATAAAAATATTGTTGTGCTGCGAAGCTTATGAATGCCCCCCGCTAATCCGACTCCAACAGTTAGTTCGTGTCCGTAGGGTTGATATGTCAAGTGAGAACGTGTCAACCCGAAGCGCATTCAAATTAGAGTGAAGCACTGTAGCTGAAGTGTCGAGTCGAAGCGCATGTACGAACATCAGCGACGCAATTTCATTGGTTTCAGAATTTGTCATGGGTGGATCCGCTAGGCAGCGAACAATTCAAAAGACAGATTGTGTGCTGATTGGGCAGCATCTTTTCGTGAGTTAGGCCCCTGTGACAAACTTCTATCGTTTGTAGGATTGACTGTGCCAATTTCAAAAGTGTCCGACGATTGAATTGGCTGGCAACCTGCAATTTCTTGACACCCTGCCATCAATGTTGGCTGAGTGTCAAAATGCCAAATTGACACTACCCACTTTGACATGTCATCCCTACGGACACGACCTTACCCCCGCTCCCCCCAACCATCAGATTGTTTGAGCTTGCCGCCGCGCAGAGTTCCGCCTCACTCCGCCTCACCTCGCCTCGCCTCGTCGCCACACCTCTCTTCTCATTTCGCTGCTCATCTCACCTTTCAGGCCCTTGAGAATCCCCATTCTCGATCGGATCTCCGATTCGTACAGTACTTTAATTCACACTCAGTGGTGTAGTAAGTCTCACACAAAAAACGTCAGTGTTTAACTAATCACGGCAGATGAACACCTTTACAATAAAAAATCCTGTGAAATCTGGGAGGATAATGGGAATACGGCCCCGGTTACCATCCCCGGTCATCAACGACTGACATTTGATTTGAACTTGGTAATTTTTAGGGACTATCGGCTGGGAGAACCAGTGGTAGCTTTTGGTTGTCCTTTCCTTTTCAACTCGACAGTTTCCAGCGGAAAACTTCAAAAGATCTCACCTTTCATCGTCCTAGCAACTGCTTTCTTCTCTCGCTCCACTAGCAACGCAAGCTCGAGCTCTCACGCTTGTCGGCGTGACCAGGGTTTGCTGGAGACAGCGAGCCGTAGCTGCACTGATTCCTAATTCCCGCGAGTCCCATTGCGTAGGATTCTCTTTTCATCAATTGATATTCATCGACTCTGAACTTTTCAATCAATCGACCAGCATAAGAGCAGTGAACTGGACTTAGCCAACTTTACCTTTTCCGTCAAACGGTCACGAGAAGACCTCTGTATCCCTCTGAACGATCTCGCTCGCACTTTGGCGATCCTTTCTTCGTCTTCTTTTCTACAGCGAGAGTTGTCTCGCTGTTGTTACGATCAAGTCGAGTCGCCTGTCAAATCCTCGATAAACGACGACGGCTGGCGATGGCGGAACCATAATCGCTGGTACTGTGACCGCTGGGAAGGCTCCATTTCGCTACTCAGCCTATCATCATTGCTCCCTCTCGCTAGATTTGCACCGCCACGACTACGACTCCCCGCAATTCCCGGAGTTAAAATTGACAGTTCATTGCGTTCCTTAAACGTTCTTTCACGCTCGTCCCAATCGCGTCGGGCCACGGCGATTCCTGGCTGTTTTCCTGTTAGTCACAGCACTACTATCCCATTCGCGATTCGTCGCTTTCAGACTCTCGCCGCGGGACTCTTAGACTCGATAGCTTCCAAGGAATCAAGCTTCGGCGGACGCATCCAGCTCGGCGATTGGCTCTGCTCGAGGTTCGACCCGTACACGCGCTTTTCCAGGCGTCGGAGGCTCGGCAAACAAGCTCCCAGACTCGGCGACCGACCGATAGTTACTAGGCTCGGCAAGTGACTGTCAGGTTCGGCAGGCTGCGGCGACATATACTTTCTTACCAACTACTAGTAATACGACGTATTTACTAAATTAATAGATTAATAGCAGTAGCATGACGATGCCGCGAACGTCCACCCCCGTGCAGCCCGTGATTGTAGTGGTGGGCCGCAAATACTGCAAGCCATTCGACACCGTGCTTGTAATGAAGGATCGGCCGTTCTCGACGGACAAGGAGACGGAGATTCACGACGTCGTCGGAAACCTGCACTTCAAGCTCTCCGCCAAGTGAGTCTTAGCAGGGATACGGAACCTGTCTTTGAGGCGCCGCCTCCAAAACGGACAAGGAGACAGGAGATTCACGACGTCGTCGGAAGCCTGCCTCTTAAGCTCTCCGCCAATGGAGTCGTAGTAGGGATGCGGGACCGCGCGGGTACGGGAAGTACTATGGGTACGGGTACGGGGACCATCCGTCAATGTTCGGGGTACGTGTGTACGTGGTACGGTACGGTGCGTGTACGGGTACGTATACAGGTACTGGAACGGGTGCGGGTGCGATGCGGGTGCGATGCGGGTGCGGGTGCCGGCGCAGATACTACGGTGCACGCATTCATTCCAAACGCAGACGGGCAGTGCATTTCTGAGGCAACTAAAAAGAAAACCTCTTCCTCCCCCCCCCCCCCCCCCCCCCCCCCCACCTTCCCCCCCGCCTTTCTCCCCTCCCACTCCCCCCCTCGCCCCCTCATCACCAGGCCTCTATCCATGTGATCAAAGCGGGTCATTCTAGACGCGGACGGCCAGGCGCTTTCTGAGGCGCCTAACATATAATCTGATTTCGACGCGCCTCAAAAACCGTCCCCCCCCCTTCCCCCTCCCACCGCCAGGCCTCTCTCCATGCGGTCGAAGCGGTTCATTCTAGACGCGGACGGGCAGCCGGTGTGCAACCTGGTGAGCAAGCTGCTGACGCTGCACGACACCACGTACCTGTGCCCCGGGGACTCCGCCAGCGCCGATTCGCACCTGCTGCAGGCCAAGAGCGGCGTCATGTCGCTGCGCCCCTGCATGAAGGTGCGAGGCCTGTCGGGTGTTTCAGGGGAGATCGAACGGGCTGCGTTATTTTTTTCTTCAGGGAGATCGAACGGCTCTGGCAGGTTCTGAGAGAGATCGAACGGCGCCCATGGGGGTATGTTATGTGAGGTGTTTTTTAAAGCATTGCTGCGGTGATGGGTGTTCTGGGGAGCTCTGACTGCGTCTGGACTGGAGCATGCAGTCTGGGGTTCTGGGATATTTGGATTATGTGTGAGTGATGGGATGGGATGGGATGGGAAGGGATGGGATGGGATGGGATGGGATGGGATGGGATGGGATGGGATGGGATGGGATGGGTTGGGATGGGATGGGATGGGATGTGATGGGTTGGGATGGGATGGGATGGGATGGGATGGGATGGGACCTGCCAACGCGGACTCGCACCTGCTGCAGGCAAGAGCGGTGTCATGTCGCTGCGCCCCTGCATGAAGGTGGGAGAGACTGTGGGTTGATTGGGCTACAGGAGAGGCAGGGGGGAAGGGCTGCACAGGAGCGGATGTTTTTTTTTGTTTTGTTTTGTGTTTGTGTGTTTTTTTAGGAGATCTTGGGGCGTGGATGCATGTGTTCTTCGCGGTTGTGCATGATTTACGTGTTTTGCGTGTGAGGGTGCGTGCATGTGTGCATGTGAGCGTGCGTGCATGCATGTGCGTCTTTTTTGTGCATGTGGGTGTGCACTCGACTCAGGCATGTGCATGATAGAGTGCATGTGCGATCCTGCGCTGCATTACTCATACCTCTTCCCTGCGCCTCCCTCTCCCTCTCCTCCTCCCCCTGCCTCCTTTTCCCTGCGTGCCCCCTGCGTGCCCCCTGCGTGTCCCCAGGTGTTTCTAAGAGGCAACACATCACTTGAGCCTGACATTGAGCTAACAGGCTTCTTTTCCAAGCGCAACTACAGGGTACTTTCCTTCCCATGCTCCCCCCCCTCACCTATCGTCTCCCTTAAAATCCCAGTCCACAGCGTTGTTCTTTCTTCTGTTAATTTACTCCGCCTCGTTTCTGTCTCATTTATTTGCTGCCCTCTGGATCGTTTCTCCCCCCTCCCCTCCCCCTCGTTCCCCCTCCCCCCCCCCCCCCCCCCCCCTCCCCTCCCCGCGCCTCCGTTCCTCCCCATTTCCTCTCCCCATCCAGTCCAAATTGTCACGCACGTTGCAGCATCCAACTAGCCGAGGTGCTGCGGGACGCTTTTTCTTTTCTTTTCACAGTCCAATCCTCCCCTCGTGACCCTTCCTCCCCTCGTCACGCGTGACGGCATCCTTCTAGCTGAGGTGCAGAAGGGCGGGTTTGCGGCTCGCAGCAGTGTGCTGTGGGTATCTTCACCTTTCCACCCGCCAACCCCCCTCCCCATCCTTTCCCCTCTCCCCCCCACTCAGATTGTCACACGTGACGGCATCCTACTAGCCGAAGTGCAGAAGGACGGGTTTGCTGCTCGCAACAGCGCGCTGTCGCCGTCGGAAGCCTACTACTATGTGCGCGTGCTGACAGGTGTCGACACCGCATTGGTGCTCGCGCTCGCTGCGCTTGCTGACGACATGTTCCCGGAGAGAGACATTGACAGCCTGGCAGATGACTGAGTGAGAGGGTTGGGGGAAATGGGGAGGAAAGGAACGGGGTTGGAGGGATTTTTCGATGCCTCAAAGATTTTGTTTGTTGTGCTTGCTGGTGACATGGTCCCGGAGCGAGACATTGTCAGCCTGGCAGATGACTGAGATGGGTGTGTGGGGGGAAATAGGGAGGAGGGGGTGAGGAAAGGAGGAAAGTAGCGGGGTGCAGGGGAGGAGAGGGGAGGCGAGAAGGGAAGGAGGGGAGTTGTGGGCATGGAACAAGGGGAAATGGGATTGAAGGAAGGAGGTGGAGACGGGGAAGGAGACTTGCGGGGTGAAGGAGCGTGTGTGTTGCAGAAGAGTTGCTGTGCATAGGGTGCTGCTTCTCCCTGCGATGGCCCATGGGATGGGAGAGTAGAGTACCATAGGTAGGGATGTGCACAGCACAGCACAATAATCTCACCACACGTGCATGCATGCACCAATGATGGGCTAATCTTGGGTGCACGTACTCACTCACAGGCACGGGCAGACACATGCACAGGCACACAGAGACTGAGACTGAGACGGAGACACACGTGAGACACACTAACCATTACGGTAGCCTCCATTACACTGACCGCTCAGAGATGCCCTCACCGTTGCTCACCAGTCGCTATGACTAACCCCTCCTTACCAACCGCAATCCCCAACCGCCGATTCGCAACCGCCAACCACCAATTACCAAATGCCCACCATCAACCCCCAATCGGCACTGCTTCCCTACAGGCCCCGCTTTACAGCAGTGCAGTCTCACCACCCCTTTCAAACGCCGTACTACTTCAATCCTGGTCGATCCAATGGTTACACTGACAGCGTCGACAAATGAACACGTTTGGGACTCCTCCCATGCCCACCAATCAGGGTTGGTTGCAGGGCTCTCGTTAGCAGACCAATTTGGTCTGATGGTCTGCGTTTCAGACTTAATTTTCTTATTTCAGATGATCTGTAAGACATATGATTTTAGTTCAGATGATCAGTAAGACAAATGATTTTACTTCAGATACATTTTCAGATCGCATACTATGCTTCATCTTAGACACCAGATAACGAGTACGATTCCGTCTGAAACCGACATTTCTGCCCACTTGTCAATAGGGCCACTAGTTAGGGTATCTGCCAGCCTGTATACATGCATGCGTAATGAATGCCACTGTCCCGTAGCATCCGCGCTGGAGGAAACAGCACCGCTGGCAGCAGCTAACTATGTGCAATGCTGCCAGCACTTTGTCGCTGCGTGGGTGTCGGCGCCGATGCCAGCCACACCCAGGCACCGACACCGTCATTTTGTGCATTGGGGTGTGAACTGTATGCATTCCGGATGCACGTAACTGTGGTCCCCGCCCAAACCCCGCACCGCGTATCACTATGACGCGCTACGTGACGAGGGTTTGAGGGACCAGGCTGGGGGCACACCACCCATCTTCTGCATCCTTTTCTTCCGCTGCATTCGACTGGCCCCGCAGTGCAGTTTTCCACTTTCAGCTGTCGCCCTGATGGCCATTCCAGAGGAGAAAGACCCCCCTGGAGTCTCAGCACTGGATTTTCTCACACGGGGCAAGTCGATCCCCGTCGTTGCACCCCCCGTTGCCTCGTGCTCAACCCGGGTTATACCAGCGGACAACGCCTCACCAGACACTGTGGCCGAAGAAAATGTGGACGACAGCATGCCAAAGGCTACCACGCCCACGTCGACGAGTATACCAGCATCTGGCGGTGAATCGATCCGGCCCGTTGTTTCTGTTGCAACAACCACCAATCTACGGGCTAACCCTGTGCTGCCTGACAGGGCTTCTGTGAAAGCTCAATACAAGCAGCGGCGGCTTAACTTTTCCCGTCCCGCAGGTCCGACATTGCCCGCGCCATCGGAGACGGTCACGCGCGCGACTCGTCAATCCACCGACGACGATGACGAAGCCGAGGAGAAGGGCAATACTAAGGGACGTCGGCCGCTGACTGTGGAAGAGCTGCAGCTCAAGTGTAAGGAGCAGTGGCTTCGCTACTTCCCGTGGCTCTTCATCAGTGAGACGAAGGACGGGCGACCTTGCATGCGCTGCAGCGTCTGTATGGTGTTCGGGGACCCGCACTACAAGTACGGCCGTTATGGTGAGGGCGGCCTCGACATTCAGAAGCAGACGATGCGCAAGCATCATTTCAGCGTGAAGCACGAGGCGGCGGTCCTGCTGAAGGAACAACGTGATGGCCTGAAGAAAGGGCAGCAGTCCATCGTCGCTTACGACAAGGGGGACGACGACGCCAGGCGAATTGCTAGATTAATGGCAATCGCATTATTCGTCTGCAAATCTGACGCCCCTATTGTGCTGTTCGTTGCTCTTGTGCAATTCATGGCTGAGCAGGGCACGCCGGACATGCCCTTGAAGGAGAATGGCACCTATTACAGCGAGTAAGATATTGTATCCCGCATATCTGTGTTTCTGATCCACAAAACTCATGGCTATTCATTGTTTATGTGTTGCAGGTATGGTTTCGCTCAGCTTGTGGCAACGATGGTGTCATACATGCGGTCCCGTCAGCTGCAGTACATCCGCGCCAGCCCCTTCCTCGGGATCCAGCTGGATGAGAGCACGGACCGAAGGCGCGGGAAGCATATGATTGTCTACATGACATTCCTGCGCGAAAACCTTCCAGTCACGGAGTTCTACACCCTGCTCTCAGTGGAGCAGTGTGATGCCGCCTCGCTGCTGACCGGCCTGCTGACGCATTTTGAGACAACGGGGATCGATCTGCAGCGCATCTCCGGTATGAGCACGGACGGCGCTTCAGTGATGACTGGACAGCACAACGGGCTGGTCGCGCGCCTGCGCTCGAAGGTTCCTCATCTCGTTTCGTGTCACTGTGTCGCACACAGGTGAGTTCGTCCGAGTTGTTTATTGATGCGCGTATCAACCGTGTATTGACTTCTTTTCTGTTTAACCTTGCAGGGAGGCGCTGGCAGCTAAAGATGCAGCAGCCGCGTACCCGGACCTTCAAATTGTGGACAAGGCTGTCCGGTCCGTGGTCGACATTCTCGGGCGCCTCGTGGTTCACACGCGATTCAAGGAGCTCCAAGAGGTCATTTGCGAGACGCATCTCGAGATGTAGGGGATAAAGGACGTGAGGTGGCTTTCCCGAGGCAATGCGATCCAGCGACTCGTCGCGGTGTTCCCTGCTGTTGTGATCGTCCTGAAGGAATTCGACAAGAAGATGTATAAGACAGTGACGAGTTTCAAATTTCACTTCTTACTCTACTTGCTGGCCGATGTGCTGAAGGAGCTGAACCTGCTCAACTTGAAGTTCCAGCAACGACAGGTACGTGTTAATGCTTGCGCTTTAAACCTCCCGTTTTGTTTGGTAACATTCTAACTTCTTCTGCGTTGTGCTTATGCAGATTGACGCCACCCATGTGCTGCAGACGGTACACAACACAATACATCTGTTGCGGACTCGTTACCTCGACAGTAACGACGAGACGTTCGGGCAAGGCGGCGCGGCGCTGGGGCCATTCCTGGCGAAACATGCTTCGGAGGAGTCCCGGGAGGTGAAGGTCGATGGCCCAGATTCCACCGGAGCGCCGACAACTCACTGCTACTTGCTGCACGAAGAGGCTATCGTGGGGCAGAATAGCAAAGGCAACCTCAGCGCCTGCTTGAAGCTCGGGCGGGAGTTCGTGGTTGAGCTGATTAAGCAGCTCGACTACCGACTGGAGGATCTCGCGTCGCTCAATGGGGCGAAGCTGTTCAAGAAGTCCCAGTACCCGAAGTCCCCGGCAAAGCGCGATCGGCGGTTGGCGCAGTGGCTGCAGTCTCTGCGCGACATGTACAAGAAGCATCCCGACGATCCTGACACTCTGCCAGGTGTGTTAAGCCTTTTGTCGTGAGGTTGCTTGGTTTATTCGGATGATTATCCGCGTCAGTAAAGATATGTAAACAGTCTACGCGTTTCTCCTCCATTCTTCGCCCGCCCATTCTTACAGGTGTGGACTGGGCCAAAGCACAGCGGGAACTTAACACCTTCGCGACAATCATGAGCACCCACCAAGAGGATGTCGGCTTTGCGGAGGGCCTGAAGCACATGCTGAGCTCACCGGACTGGACAACGAGCTACCCCAACATTGTCCGCCTGTGGATCGCTGTAGCTGTGCTCCCGCTGAGCACTGTGGAGTGCGAACGCGGATTCTCAAGACAAAACGTGATCAAGAGCTGGCTGAGAGGGAACCTGTGCGACGCCAAGCTTGGTGAGCTCATGTCCGTGTCTCTTTTGAGCTACGACATGGAGTGGCCCGAGTTGGTGGCTCGGTGGCGCAAGTCGAAGAAGAGGAGGTCTGCAAAGGATGTGCTGCTGCCGGGAGTGGAGAGAGAGAGCAAGCGCAATAAAAGAAGATCCGCAGCAGCAGCAGAGGCAGCAGCAGCAGCAGCTGCTGCTGTGGCAGCGGCAGAGGCAGCAGCACGAGAAGCAGCAGCAGTAGCAGAAGCAGCCAGGCTGGATGCAGAGTTCCCATGGCTCAGTCGCAAGGGGAAAGCTAACTACCCTATTCCAGTGCCGTCTGATAGCCTAGACAGCTGTAGTGATGATGATAGTGGCAGCGAGTCTGACTAAACCGTAGAATGGTTTAATGATACCTAGTTTTTATTTTGTAGTGTGTAGAACTCTTGTAGTGTAGTGTAGGCCCCGTAGAATAGTTCATCTGTTTTTTCAGACTGGTATAAAGGTTTCATCTTAGAGGACAGAAAAAAAAAAAAAAAAAAGCCAATCTGAGCGTAAGACGATTTTTTTTTTTTTACACTTCCTGTCAGACAGGCCAAAATCCTAGCGAGAGCCCTGGTTGGTTGGTACTGGGAGCATCTGTTCCTCTTCACTGGGAGCATGGGCCATGGCTCTATTCTCTACCCTAACCCTTCTGTCTGCTTCTAAGGTACACTCAACAACATACTGTTTACAGGGTATTTCTTAGTCTTTTACTCGCTTGATACTGTGCCGTACCTATGACCTCGGTTGATGCTCTTGTGCTGCATTATTAGTTCACTGGTCTGATGCTTGCTAATCACTCACTCGCCGCCGCCGATGCAGTCGTTTCACGAATACCCAATGCGGGTAAACCATTACGTCATTATAATGAATTTACCATTTCTGTATTGTAAAAAACGCGATTTGTTAAGCAGAAAAAAACAGGTTTATGTTCTGGTTCTCAACGTAGTGCTCCGATTGACAGACACATGGACACAGGCATAAAATATTTGCGAATGTGCCATCCATTGCACGGGTGTGTTTACAAGCAAAAACAAAGTACAGGTACCGTATGTAACATGTGCTTGTGATCTAGTAATGAGACTTGTGTCTGTGATCTTGTATTGAACCACAGAAGTTAATAGAACACAGACACACAGCATAAAATGCTCCACACTTGGACTGAAGGATCGTGTATTCATGGTAAGGTAATTGGATTCACAATGGGCAATCTTTCAATGGAATCAATTTCCACTCCAGACACACAATGCCTATCTGAAGGAAAGCAAAAATCCAGACGGTCTAGAAGTATCACCAAGCATTTCTGCATGACTTAGCAGGAGGGCCCTCTTGCTCCTGTTCCTCTTGTTCAGCTTCCTAGATTTGAACTATTTCCAATAGAGGCTACCTTCCCCCTAAAGCTTGATTCGCAGATCAGTCCCTTGGCATACAGCCTACAAGTACACCTAGTTGTCTCCCTCTCAACTCAACTCAACTCACCCTCTCCACCTGTTCCCCCACCCCTTCCCCACCCCTTCCCCATGCCCCCACTACCTCTCCTTCATCAATTCAACTGTTTCAGCTGTTTCGAACCAGAACATGGTACTACCATGGTAACCCTTCCATGCCATGCCCCCCCCCATCCCTTCCATGCCATGCCATGCCATGCCATGCCATGCCCCTGTCGCGCTATCTCGCTCTCCTTCACCCAGGTGACTGCGCTGCAACCAAGACTCCTCAACCAGATGAAACTTCTTGCAACAAAAATAGGCTGTCTTGCCTTGTCTTGCCTTTCCCAGGGCATGCCCCTGTGATGCATGCTATCCCTCTCGCTCGTTGCCGCACCTAAAGATACCCCCATGATCCATCCATCATGCAATGCCACTCTCCTTCATCCGAGTGACTGCTTCCAATGCTGTCTTGTTGGTGGGCTCTAGGATCAACGCCTGGCTGAAGTCTGGATAGGGAAGAAGCGGGAGGAGGAGAAGAGGAGAAGAGGAGAAGGGGAGAAGGGAGAAAAAGGGAGACAGGGAGATGGGGAGAAGGGGAGAAGGGGAGAGAGAAGGGGAGAAGGGGAAAAAAGGAGAGAAGGGGAAAAAAGGAAAAGGGAGAGAAAGGGAGACGTGGAGAAGGGGACAAGAGGAGAAGGGAAGAAAGGGAGAAGGGGAGAGTGGATGCGAAGCGGCCTGAGTCGACTTAAATCACACCCGGATTTGGTGCGAGTCGAAGGGTAGGTGAGAGGGATGGAGGGAGGAGTGAGGAAGTGAATGAGGGAGGCGAAATGAGAGAAAGGGGAAGGGGAAGGCAAGGAGTGAGGAAAAGGAAGAGGAGTGTGTGTGTGTGTGTGTGCGTGTGTGTGTGCGTGTGTGTGTGGGCGTGTGTGTGTGTGTGCATGTGCATGTGTGTGTGTGCGTGTGTGTGTGTGTGCGTGTGTGTGCGTGCACATGCGTGGGAGAAAGGTAGTCAGAGAGAGCTCGAACAGTAATGACTGACAGGAACACAACAAACATGAGATTTATTCTCATTCGTTGTTTTTTTTCTCAACAAATGGTACCTTCGAACGCCTCTGGGTAGAACCCGAGCATCTCCCTGGCTGTGCCTCTGCGCAGCATGGCCTTCACATTCTGGTGATCGGGGGGGGGGGACAGATAGACAGCAGGCACACACACGGCAGGTAGTGAGACATGGCAGGTAAAGAAAGCAAGGGGAGGTGAACACACAGCAGGCACAAACATGACTGTCCTGCCCCTCTGAGAACCCTGGCCTTCACATTCTGATGACGGGGGGGAGACAGATAGACAGCAGGCACACACACACACACACACGCGCGCGCGCGCGCGCACGCTCACGCACGCCCGCACGCCCGCCCGCACGCCCGCCCGCACGCCCGCCCGCCCGCACGCCCGCACGCACGCCCGCACGCCCGCCCGCCCCCCCGCCCGCCCACCCGCCCACTCGCCCGCTTGCCCGCCCGCCCGCCCGCCCGCCCGCCCGCCCGCCCGCCCGCCCGCCCGCCCGCCCGCCCGCCCGCCCGCACGCACGCACACACGCACGCACGCATGCACGCACGCACGCACGCACGCCCGCACGCCCGCACGCGCACACACACACACACACAGAGGGTGGAAATACAGCAGACCAACGCACAGCACGAGAGGCGATTCTTTTAGCACCTTCTTGAGGTGTCTTTAAACCGCCTCACACGCATAGAGAGGGTGAAGTGAACATACAGCATATCAATGCACCAAAGGTGAGGACAGCAAGCAGGCCGGACACACAACGCAGAGAAGGTTCCAAGAAAACAGGGAGTGCTGTGTGAGGCATAAAGAAGGGACTGGGTGGTGGAGGGGGAAGGGGAGGGGGATGGGAAGGGGGATGGAGAGGGAGGGGGAAGGGGAGGAGAGGGAGAGAGGGGATGGATGCAATACGGTGCCCAAAAGCTGGTGCTGGCTCTGTTGCGGAGAACTCCTGGAGAACTCAGCTCACCTTCTTGTCGAGACTACTTTTGAGGCGCCTCAAAACTGGTGCTGGCTCTGTTGCGTGGAACTCGTGGAGAGACTCAACTCCACCTCAACTCACCTTCTTGTCGAGACTCAACGCAGCTGTGCAATCCGCCTCCACTTGCTCAAAACTGCAGAGGGGGCGGGGATGGAAGAGAGGAGGGAGATTGAAAAAAGGAGAAGGGAGAGGAGGAGGGGAGATGGGACAGAGTTCCTAAACACCTGCGCTTGTTAAGAGAGGCAAAAAAAAAAAAAAAAAAAAAAAAAAAAGAAGAACAAGTAGGAAAGCGGGGAACGGTGTTCCCCAAGCTGCTCATTTGTCCAGCTTCAGTAGGAATTGGATTGGATGTAGGGTATTGCGTTGTAGGACCATAGGAGTACTCATTTCCATCCAAAGCATCAAATTGGATATACTCCATGTTCCGATGAGCCACAATGAGCATCTGAGCCCATGAGCCCATGAGCCTCACTTGTGCAGGTTGAGGTACGCCATGGCGCGGTTGGAGTAGTAGGTGGCGTTCTTGCTGTCGTGCCGGATGGCTGCTGTGTAATGGTCCACTGCCTCCTGATACTTCTTCTGCATGTACGCCTTGTTGCCCTGGAGGGGCGGGGAGGGGGGATTGGGGAATGAGGGGACAATGGGAATGAATGGGAAGGATGGGGAGTAAAGGGTGGTGGTGTTGTTCTTGCTGTCGTGTCGGATGGCTGCTGTGTAATGATGCACTGCCTCCTGATACTTCTTCTGCTTGTACGCCTTGTTGCCCTGGGAGAAGGTGAGGGGGGACTGGACGAGAGGAGGACGAAGGGCGTGACGGGAGGGAGGGGAGTGATGACGGGAAACAGAGAGGCCAGCGGGCAGTGGTGGAAGCTTGAAACGTCTCAACAGAGGAGGCTTGAGCTGTCTCAAAACAACAGGCGAGTGGAGGCAGGAGGCCAGGGGAGTGGAGGCAGGAGGCCAGGGGAGTGGAGGCAGGAGGCCAGGGGAGTGGAGGCAGGAGGCCAGGGGAGTGGAGGCAGGAGGCCAGGGGAGTGGTGGCAAGTAAGAGCTACAGGAGATAGGAACAAGGAGACCGCCTACATATCAGGGAGCTTACTGAATTGCAGGAAGCTAGTGCAAGAAGCTTGAATTTCATCAGGCCTTTTGAGGCACCTC